TTATAATATGAAATTTTAGTTTAAATTCAAATCAAGTCAAAACTTTACTTCCTTTGATGATAAATTTAATTTACAAATTAACTTGATGCTAGTCTGTCATAAATTTAAAATATTGATATACTGTATTCAGGTTTGAAGAATCTGTGACAAGCATTTGAAAATGCTTGTGTGTGATAATGATAGATTTTTAAAAGGTAAAATTTTTACCAACAAGATGGTTTCTTAGTCCAAAGCATGAAAGGAACCCTACATGAGAACTGTAAAATCATACTTAGCTTACAGTTCATCAATACAGATGTACCTTACCATCATACTTAACTTATTTGTAAATACTTTTTTAAGGCTACCTAAACATTCACTAATTGGTTAAATATGGTGCCTACTCTGTTAATTTCTGTTTGCATTAAAATTTTAAGAAATCTAAATGTTCACTTTTGTACAGATCTGAATACCAACTATTATTCTGAAAAAGTGTTCAAATATTTTATCAAAGATACTTAAAACATAAAAATGTTTCAAGGGAGGATTTATAGCCCTGATGTCTTTTACCTTTCCTCTATCCTACACTTTGATGAACAGATTCATTTGTTCTAGACTTCCACAGAAACTCTTCTTTTACTCAAAGAACTTAACTAAGAATCTAAGATAGTATCAGTACAAAGAGAAAAGCTTTAGATTTCACCAGATTAAATACATGCAGAGACCTATTAGAAAAACTATAAAAGCCTAGGCAATGTAAATGAAGCCATACAAGTGAAATCATCCACTTTATTAGCCTACACATTTTGACAGCTTCATTTACTGAATGAAAAAGATCTAAATAAAAACATATTAAACCCTCCAAGCTGGCACTATCACTTTGATTGCATAGGTAGGACTTCAAAGGTAGCTTACCTATGTGATAGTTAAGTCTTTTAAAGTGTCTGATAAAAGATAAAACATTAAGTTTAATTAAGCAAGAAACAGTTTAATCCTTAAAAAGCAAACTCATCTTTTACAGAAAATTTAATGAACCAAAATATCCACTGCAGCAATCAAGATTCCATGAAATGCTCAAAAGGTAGACTTTGATAATAAGTAACAAAATCAATAATCTTAATTTTTAACTAAAGTTAAGAATGAATATCAATAAACAGAAATTCACTATCTTAATTGGCTGAAATACATTTAAAGAGTTTAAAACACTTTGAGAAGATCTATTCTGGGAATGTTATCAGTAATAACTCTTGAATCTCTTTCTTTTGAAATAGAAGAACTAAATTCTTCCTAGAACTCTCACTAACTTTATATTAGTGAGATTAGGAACATTTTATATAAGATATTAGTCTGTAAAAGCATTCTTAACCCCTAACTGGGGGGTGGGGAGGAAGGTTTGATTTACACATCATCCTCAGAATATCTGAGTGGGTAGCTATCAGACTTTAGCAGCAACTGGGGGAGAGGGATGTTCAACAGGTAATATTTCTGGTACATAGAAAAAGCTTAAAAAAAAGGCAAATTCAAATTAGATAAAATATTGTGCTCTATCAAAAGAGAACTCCCCTAGGAATTACTAATTCCATATTAGTACACACTGGTAGTATTTTCTAATTCAGACAGTAGCCAGTTGTGTGAAACACACATTCAAACCCACACTATTTGGGGAGCAGGGGTAAAAGGGAATCACAGTACTATTGCTTTTATTTAAATTGACAAAAAAACTAATGATAACATGAAGTTTCCAAGTAACCTGAACAGTTCAATGACCTATTTAGTGTTGGAGGAAATGCTTTTCATTCACTTTTACAGAAAACTGATTTCTTGTTGTCACTTTCTGGTTTATTCAAGTACTGTTTCCTTTCTTTTAAACATATAATGCATTTCTGCCTATTCTAAGGCAATGGTAACATTGGCTTTTACTGAAGAAAAGGCATATGAAAACTGAAGTCCAGTAAGGCTTTATTGATAACATTATTAGATCTCTGAAAGTAGAGACTAGTTATTAAAATTCAACTTCAATTTTTCATATTAGTAGATTAATTATTTTCTTAGTATTTACTTACGAGTAGCTAATGTGATTTAATGTTTTAAAGTGAGTTTTTTAAAAAAAATTCTAACTGCTTCCAAAATCAGAAAGCACAAGTTGATAGTCAACTAATCTAGTGTAGTGTAGTTATAGACATTTTAGAGAAGTGGCAAAGTTAAGAGATCAGTTCTGAACACAGGTTAACATACAGTTGACTACAAAAAGCATCATGTTTGTACAGCAGGAAAGGTGATTTGCACAGGAAGCCTAAAAACTCAGCTCTCTTATCTAGGAAAAGAACCACTTAGTATTTAAGTTACTTTCATTAAGAATTAAATATAAAAGAAAAACTAGGATTTCTTTCAGAAGCCTGCATACACCTGTGGAAAATGCAGTGCAAGTAATTTCTTATAGATTGTACATACTTTCAAACAGATCATCACTAACACATTACAGATTTTTAAACTAATGGAAAACAAACCCTTGAGGGCAGATGATACAGCTCACAACAGGTAAACATTTAGCAGTTAATAAGACAAATAAATATATCAAAACATACAATGTAATTGTTCTTGGGATTTTAAAAACAAAGGCTCAGAGCCATAGGAGAAGTATGTATGGTACAACCTTTCTAGAGTGAATATATATATGTAAGCCTATCCACAGTTCATACATACTTTCACAGGAATGGACATTGCTCAAATGTTTAAGTCCCACCCCACCCCCCCAACCAAGAACCAAACTTTTTACAATATTCAACAAGAAGCCCACCATCTACCATAAGGCAAAGTGACTATTATTTATTTTAAAGTTTTTATAAAATGGCTATAAAATCCCATTAGTGACCAACAGAGCCCTTTGATCTCATTGCATGGGATTCATAACTTCAAATTGTGCTATGCTATTATTGTACTATATACCTTAAAGTATTTCCATTTCTCCAGAATTCCTTCCAAAATCAGTTTCCAAAGCAAAGTAATCTAACACAAAAAGTTCCTGTGAGGACTTGTTACACAAAAGGAATGCTTGGATGCAAACAAATCTACACATTCATCCCTCTTATAAAGTTTTTTACTCCATTCCATTCCATCTCTCCCAAAGCTGAATGTACTTCTGTAATATAAAGAAAAGGCTCCCCCCCCCCTTTTGCCCCCCCCATACTACTCCCCCCCAAGCACCTTTGGCTCCTTAGGTCCAGAGACAGCTTCTGCATAGGTGATGATAACTATAAGAAAAGAGAAGCTGTCTCTTTAACATGCCCTGTTCTGTCCCTGATCCCACGTGGAACCAACATCAGCAGCACTTTCCCATTAACTTCAATGTGATGCAAGAGGCATCATCCTTTTATATACATAAAACGAGAAAACTTCAACTTACATTCTTTACTTAAGAGGAACAGGTGAAACAAAGGTGTCAGGAAAAGAGAAACCGAAAAACTCCTCAGCCCTCCCCAAAAGGTGCACTTAGCTTACTCTCTGTCCTCCCTGTGCAACATCACCTCTACCCCTGACTACTATAGAGTTCAGTTTAATAAAGGAGGGAGCCACTAACAAAACCTGAAACGTAAAGGCAACGAAAATACAATTTACAGCCGGAAAGGTTTATTCTTTTAATCACACGTACCCACTGTACGAAGAAAGTGACATTATAAAGACATCCCTTCTTTTACTCCCAAAACTCACGCAAAGATCACGAAAAGGGAGTTATAAAATAGCAAATGCAGCATTTATCTTATCTCAGATCAGTCCACATTACCAATAAGTTTAGCAGTTTCTGCACTACCACCTCCCCCCTCCCTCTCCCTCCTTCTCTTGCATCGGATTTTCACGTTTTCTCATTGTCGGTTGTGAGTTATAAAAGGCTTTTGCCCTTCGAAAGTTTTAAAAAAATAAATAAATATTAACTCCTTGGTCCCTGCAAAGTCAAAATGGACCTGAGGGGAAACGCGGTGGATACTTTTACCTTTAGCGAGAAAAGGGGGAGCATCCCGGGGTTTTAGGAATTTTTTGTGATTTTTTAAAAATTTTTATTTGGTTATATGCCTGAGTTCTCCCTCCATTTTGGTTGTTTATGATACTGACAACAAGCTGTCCCTGCTCTCTGCAGATCTCCTGCTTTCATTTAACACCCCCCCTCCCCCTACCCCCCCAATGCAACCCCCCTTCCAGGGCTCACACCTCCCCCCAAGCAAATAAAACACCCCAACCCCAACTTTCCTACCTGGGGAAAGGGGAAAAACAAATTCATTTCTCTGGAAAGAAAAACCTCTGGTGAAAAAGGGGCAAAGTTACCCCAAGTCACTCAAAGTGCCCCCCAAATATTGCCGACTGCGGGTTTCCGCCGGGGCCCTTGGGAAGCGACTTTCCCCGGGGATGTTTTGGTGGAAAATGCGGAGTGTTTACTCTCAAAACTGAATTTATATTAATTTTTCCCTGATTTTTCGGGTCTCTAATGTCTTCCGCTCTCGCTGCTGCCGCTGCTGCTGTCACAATATTCACAGCACCAGAGAAGAGGAGGAGGAGGAGGAGGAGAGGAGGAGGAGAGGAGGAGGAGGAGGAGGAGGCGAAGAAAAAAAAACTTTTCAAACTTTCCAAACCCTTCAGAAAAGGGGGAAAAAAAAGTTTCTTTTTTTTTTTCCCACCGACTTCACCTTTTGGTCCCCGGGACGCGTCGCCTCCGGCCCCGGCAGGAGCGGGAGCTGGGGCTCTTCGCTGCCCTTTCCAATGACTTTATTTTATTTTATTTTTTTCATTTTATTTTGCTCTCTCTGGGGTCCCGAGCAGGGGCTGCGAGGAGCACAAACTTTTCCTCCTCCTCCTCCTCCTCCTCCTCCTGCTCCTCCTGCTGCTGCTGCTGCTGCGGCGGCTGCTCCTGCTCCGGCGGCGGCTGCTGCTGCTGCTCCTCTGCCCCCTCAGCTCGTCCCATAATTTAAATAACCCTGATATTTCCCCCGCTAAACGCCTCTCCGCCCGCCCCGGACCCCGGGAGAACTCACCGCGGGGCTTTAACATCCTCCCTCCGGCCCGTCCGCCGCCTTTACACCGCCCGCCGAATTTCTAATAATTTTTTTCTCATATTTCGGGCTGGACGCGGCGGGCCTGGAAATTGTTTCCTTTCGCCTCTTTCCAGCAGCCATTGTAGTGTATGCGCTGCCCCTGCAGCCCAACTTGCAGCAGCCGCAGCCGCAGCCGACGTCGCGCCCACCGCCGCCGCCGCCGCTGCCGCCGCCGCCGCCGCCGCCGCCGCCACCGCCTCCCCCGGCCCGCTCGGGCCGCCGCCTCCCTGATGGCCCGCCCCTCTCCGGCCTCCCCCCTTCGCGCCCGCCCTCCTCTCCCCCCTTCATCCTCCCTCCTCCCCTCCACTCCATCACCGCCACCCTCCGCCGCCGGGCCTGGCTATTGGGCGTCGCTGCCGGCCTCGGGCCCAGCTCTGGCAAGGCGATTGGTGAACGCGGACGTCAGTCTTACAGCTGGTGTTAAGGGGTGGGCGCAGAGCTGAGGTTGGGGGGAGCGTGGGGGAGGGGGAAATAGAAAGGGAGGCGGATACCTCGCGGGCTTCTCCCCCCCTCTCTCCTCCTCCCTCCCTCCCGCCTCCTCGCGAGCTGGGGGTGGGGAGGGGCCGGCTGGATCGAAGTCTTCGAGTGGTCGGCCCGGTTGTCAGTCACATGAATGTGAGAACCGATTGGACAAGGGGGCAACCGGGGGGAGAAGGGGCAGCGAGTTAGGCTGCGTGCTACATAAGGCGCTGCTGCGTGAGCCATTGACGTGTTTGGAGCTGGAGACGGCCTGGATGCTGGGGTAGCCGCGGTGAGAGGTAAGTGGGTTCCCTTCTTCCTCTGGGGTAACCGGAGCGAGCATGTACTTGGTCCTTTCCCCCACCCTTGCCTCTCGGTCCTGCAGCCTGAGCCGGGGCCCCCGCAGTCTCCTCGGGCCGGAACAGCGTGTTCCAGGCCTAGTCATGTCTGTGTCTCCTCCTCCTCACTGACTCTCAGGTCGGGGAAGCAGCTTCACCATTTGTACCGGGACGGGGAAGGTGATCTCTCCTCCCCACCGGGGGGTGTGTGGGTGTGCAGGGGGGCAAACTTACTCCCCCCCCACTTTTCACCTCCTTGTTTGCACTACCCTCCATTCGGCGCTCCCTCTTAAGGGAGGGGTGGGGGGAGCTTTGCTGGTGAGAAGATCCTGGCCCTCCCCGGGGTCAGAGGTCACAGTCACCCACTCCCCCAGAAGCCGCAGCCCCCTCGCGTGACCCGCGACCCGGTGTGGAATGCCTTGATTTTGTTTTTCAGGCCTCGGTTAGTGGCTGGAGCCGTCGGTCCTCCGGGGCCCCCCGAACACTGGCAGCGGTCAGGCTGGTTGATGGGTACAAACGGACTCTCTGCTATGCCGACCCCTTCCCGAACCAAAGCAAATCAGGTGCCGAGAGGAGAGCAGCTGTTAGGGGAGTAATACCAAGGAATAATAACTTGAGAACTGCCTGGGTAGGTTTCAGAGTTTTTCCTCGAGGTGATGGGAGGGAGGGGAGGAAAAGCCCAAGCAGTCTGCTGCTCCCCCCCACCCACTGACCCCTTACAGGAGGGCTCTTGCTGATCCTTCAGTGTCCAAGGAACAGACACCATCCAGAACCACTGTAGAAAGCTTCTTTTCACCTTCAGAAAGTGGACCAGGTATCTCAAGACCTTTGTCATGTTCATTCTATTCTCTGTATCCAGTCCTCCACCTAACTACTTCCTTAGTCTAAATGGACTTTGATTTGAACTCGAATGATTTTTATTGGAAGATAGTTTGTGCTTGGGGTATAGTAACCTTGAAAAACTTAGGCACTTTTGATAATAGGGTCACAGAGTATAAATACTGAAGGGGAAAGGGAGCAGGTCTTTCTATTGATAAACCACTCACGTCTCTCTCACAGGCTTAGTAATAGACCCTTAAATCCTTCCTAGTTGTTGCCTACTTTCAAGTCATATTAGCCACTTGAGTTCCAGTAGGTATCTGATTAAACAGTAAACTGAAAACAAGGTATATATTTCTTATAGGTAAGCACCAGTGTTTTGAGTGAATAGGAAAAAAATCATTTCGTAGCACTTTGACTGTCCTTGTACAAGGAAAAATAGGGTGATGTAAAAATGTGCTTAGGAAGAAAAGAAACTTCTAGTTGTTGACACTTAACAGTTATTAACTTGAATGACTGTTGACTTCTACTTAGGACTTATGTCTAGAACAGTGGTATCAGACTCAAGAAGAACCAGGGCCATCGAGCCACACATAAGGATCCCTGCAGGCCACACATTGACTTAGTTTTAGTGTTATATGTCTTTTATTGTGCTTTTGTTTATTTTGTTAAATATTTCCCAATTACATTTTTATCTTGTTCAGTGAGCATTTTTGACATCTTTAGAGAGTCCTCATCCGCATTTTCTAAATGTTGAAAATGAATTAACTATACTTTTATTGAGTAGCCCCAGTGACACTAGTTAAAGCTGAAGGGACTAAACTTTTTTCTTAAATTCTTTAGACATCTCCTATGCCCACATAAGAAATTTAGCCTGGATACCCCCTTATGTATACAATCTTATATACCGTCCCCCAGAATCAGTTTTTTCTTCTTCCCCCCAGCCTCCCCCAAACCCACCCACTCCCCCCCCAAAAAAAAGCCTAGTTGTACTGTTTGTCAAAACAAAGACAAGTGTTTCTCTTTGGGGATGTGAAAATTGAATCATAACAGTTACAACTGTAATTTTTAAATTCACAGTTAACTGCATAATCATCTTAATTTAGTAGGTTGTGCTACCACCTTTAATGAATTTCTCTCCATCTCCTTTAGGTAGTATTTGATAAGTAAGAGTAGAAATCAGCAGTAGAACATGCTTAAACTTCATGAAAGGCTTCTGAAAAAAATATTTCATAAGAATCTAATCAAGGAAGAAACTTAATTCCTATGAAAACTGCTACTTTGGGATGGTTTAGAAGGTCACTGCACAATATACCTATAAGGATAATTTCATTGAAAAACAAAACAATCAATGCAGGTTATCAACTTCTCCGCAAATTAAAGCTTGACAGTTGTCTAGAACACTGAGATTAAGTGCTTTGCCCAGCATCACAGCCATTATGTGTCAGAGGCGGCATTAGTGAAGGTATCACACAGTACTTCTTTTATAATGACTTTTTCTGAGGTAGGCCTTAGTTATTGTACCAGAGAGAGGCAAGTGTAGTGGATATATATAGTGTTGGACTTAGGAGTCAAGATGACCTGGTTTCAAATTCTGCCTTTGATGCTTAACTTGCCCTTGATGGAGTCTATCTGTTAATTTAATTTCTTTAAACCTCAGTTTTCTCAACTATAAAACAGAATGATACCTGAATACCTCATAGGGTTATTGTGAGGCTCAAATGAGAACATATATAAAGCACTTTTCAACTTTAAAGTGCTATAAATATATTGGCTAATATTCCTCAGTATCATTCCCTGATGGAAGCCTTTTATCTAAGGACAGCCTCAATTAACTAGTATGATTTGTGATGAAGTAGGAATTAGGTGACACAGTATTTTTGAAGATTGTGATTGCCTTACATCTCTTTTTTGTTTCCATACTTCTAACTTCTGAAACTACAAAGTGGGGATTAGTCTACATCACTTAAGTCACATAACAGCACTTAACATTCCATATCATTCTTTGATCCTTCTTGCCACCTTTTCTTCCCCTCCACCCAATTTACACACACTTGAATTGAACTTAATTGGGTTTTAACTAGTTCATACTTCATTAAATTAACAGAGCCACCCTTAAATATTTAATTGCTTAATATGAACTAATCAGTTATATATTTAGTTACTGTGTATATAAAACTACATATAGTTAGATATAGTACATATAGTTATATGTAACTATATTGTATACATATGGAGGTAAAGATAAACACACATGCACTTGAGCAGTCTGGCTACTTCTCAAAGTAGATTTGGACAAAATTTAAATGACTATTAGCAACTATGAGTGTGGGGCAAAACATGTAAAGTACCTGTTTCTAATTGTAAAACTTAATTGAAGTTTTTCAGAGTAATATGATCTTAAATGTTTCAGGCAATTGTGAGGCTTTAAAAAACCTATATAAATAACCTTTCTTTCTAACTTTTAGCTGCAGTAGGAAGATTAGGATGCCTCTTGTTACGAAGAGACTTAGAGACCCTGATGTAAATCCTTGTTTGTCGGTAGGATTGCTTTTTTGTTTAACTTTTCATAGATTTTTGGGTTGGAAGAATAAGCCCCAATTTTGTGACTTAAAATTTCTGTGTTTTTGTAATTATTGAATAAACTTTTAAAAAATTCTCAGCCATTGCATCCTTACTTCATAGAATATTTTAAATGTTCACAATTTATCCTATCAAAATATTTATTGAGCACCCACTTATTTTCGTACACTTTTGTATATTGTATACACATTTATACATCAAACCATTTTGTTATCACTTGATAACTAGACACAAATATATAATGTCAGAGAAAAATCTTAGACCAAATGTAGTTTTTATTACTTATGTGGAAAGTTGGAAGGTATGCCTTTTTAAAAACTGACATTGGAATTTAAGTTCTTTTCCTATTACCCCATTCAGTGCTGTCCTTGAGGCAACCTAACAACAGAGTTATCTTATAATAGAACTAATTTCTTAAAACTAAAGTATTTTCTAAAAGATATAGCATAAACAAAATGTGAAGCTGTATTTCAAAAATTTTATTGGCATTTGTTGGGTATGACGAGCAACACTTACTCATGGGTTTCTCTCCCCCCCCACCCAGTAATACAGTCATCTGAAACTTATGCCAATGAAAACCATACCACTCAATCCTTGAGGCATTCTCTTGTATGTATATATATTCACTTTAAAATTTGATGGCATGTAAACTTAGATCCTTTCATGTGTTAAAATAGTTCTTAATAGCTTTGTTATAATTAAAAGAGCCTGTTTGGAAAGAACATGTTTTCTTATGCTTATGAAAGCAGATAATCATGCTATTCATATCGTTCTATAGTTGACTAACTGAAATTCACACATTTTCGCTTTGATGTTTTGAGTTATCCAGTCTACTTCTGGTTCAGTTCAGACTACTTAAACTTGGTTCCCAAGTGTTAGGTATACTCCTTAAAATTCACATAGCTCTTTTTTTCCTGACTTATATTTGAAGTAGAATTTAATTTCTTTTTAAAAAATTGCTTACTTAGTATATGGCATTTAATAGTCTGATGGAAAGACATTTTGGTGAATTAGGTGTAATTCTAGGCTTTCTTAAAGTTAATTTGGCTCAAGATCATCTGTATCCTGGTTAGAATTTCCTAACCCCTACAGATAGGGTGTCAAGAGATACCCTAAGATAAGAGACAAGGGAGAAATGAAGTGTGAAGCTAAATTTTTTTCTTAGACACATTGAATTGGAAAATATTAAACCAAAATTTTGTCCATGAGTGTTCCGAAATGGCTTCCAAAATGGACTAGTTTTATCTTTCCATCATTAAATATTGCATGTTTTGCATGTTAAAGGAATCAGATGCTTCTACCAGATGTATGGATGAAAATAATTATGACAGGGAAATGTGTACCACTTGCTTCTTGAAGTACAAAAACTGCAGGAAATTTTGGGTAAGTAGAAATAAACCAAATTATATTTGAAATGGTCATTTAAGCATTAGATTAGCTATGGCTGAAATACCAATTTGAAAGATGAGATGTAGGGAAATCACACCAGGTCTACTGTTAATTGTGACTTTCCGTGCAAAGAGAGCCCAGAAAGTTGCAGGTGCTTAGCAGTTATTTTCAACTTTGCCATTTCCATTTCTGGTATACAAGCATGATAGGTTAACTTATTTTTCCTATTCAAATTTACTAGCTTTGTTGTGTCAAACAAAGGTACAATGTCTCCTACTCAGAGACATGTTTTTATGAAAGACAGCCTTACCATAAGACACTGGAACTACTGCTAAAATAGCTAGTTTCTCTTAGAAGCTTACTGTTGTTAAATTTTTCCCATGTGTAAAACTTAAGGGAAAGACCTCTACCTCCTCCTCCTCCTCTTCCTCCTATCCCCACCACTGATAACTGCCAACATCACTTAACAACATTTTTTATTATTAAGGGGTGCATTTTTTCCTGGCTTGTTTTTTTGTTTTGTTTTAACTTGACCTTTGAAACTTGGATGTGTTTTTTAAAAGTTTGCTTTTGGGGGAAAAAATTGTTGTTTGGGTTTTTTTTTTTAAGTAATGGAGTAAAGTTAAAATAAATATAAAATTAACTTTGATTTTTGTTTGCTTATATTTAGAATGCCATTATGATGGAAAGACGACGAAATGGAGTTAAACCACCTATGCCCACAGCTGCAGAAAGAGAAAAAATCTTGGGAGCAATGGGAAAGATGCCCTATTAAAGGCTTATATGCAATAATATTGTTTCTTTGACTTGATGTTTTGGAGCAGATCTTTTAAAATACATTTGATACATTTTGATTTTTATACCAACATTATTTCCAAACAATTTATCTTCCCTCTTCTCTCTCCCTATCCTCCTCCTCACCCCCAGCTCCTCCATAGTGTCTTCTCTTAACTATTTTTTTCTTTTAACTAACACAGACCTGGTACAACTGCACCTTATGTTACAGAGGACAAAGAATGTAGTATTTTGTACCCAGAGTTAGGGGTAAATACTTTTAACTATTTCTAGCTCCTGCAAATATGTCAGATTGAAAATAACTTGGTTAATGTTTCAAGGGGTAATTCTGTTGTTACTAATGACATACTATGTAATTATACATGTATTTATAAATTCAATATCTTGCATTTATAATAGTGCTTTATATTTAACATTTTGGTCTTCCAAAACCCTTCGAAGTTGGTACTATGAGTAGTAAATGTTCTATTTTACAGATTAAGAAACTAAAACTAAGAAGTGGAAACTTGTTGGAAATCATTTATGTATTAAGGGATTCTAACCTTGGTCATTTGATGTTCAATTTACTCTCCCATGCTGCATCTGAAAGTAATCTCAGAATCTGAATTGGAAAGATACCACACAGACTGCCTAGTTGAACTTGGACCTCAACAAGAATCACTTCAATAAAGACATCTCTTTTTGTCTTAATAAGATAATCCAGATAACATCACCACAGTCTATCTAGTATGACAATTACTATTAGCTTTTCTCTTCTGATCCTTTTTTTTTCTCAGACAAAATCACATTGAAAGAAGTTTGGTACACAGCCACTCACACGTTGTTTATTTGCTGTTGGCATTGTAGGCAGGATGGAGAAGTTAAAGGCTTCCCTCCTCCAGTCCCACCTAACTTTGCTAACTCAGTTTAACACATTCTTTTCCCACTTTTAATCCTCCCTGTTAGCCTTAGTTAAGAAAATTATTAAACAAGGATCCAGGAGAGAAAACAATTTAGATGGTGAAGTTATATGACTGATAAATTCCACCCTGCCCGTTTTCCATCCTACTGAGTGACATTGAGTAAATGATTTTGAATCTGCTCTTTTTTTTTTCTTTTCCTTTTTCTTCCCCTCCCCCGTTGCCATTTTACAGATGTGGGAAATGAGGGTGTC